AACTCTCTCTCTCTCTCTCTCTCTCTCTCTCTCTCTCTCTCTCTCTCTCTCTATCCAACTGGTTAATTACTGAACCAATTCAGAAGAGATCCATCTAGATTTCCAAAAAGTAATCTTGTGAGTAACTTTGGTACTTTCCCAAAAAGGCTCAAGAATCCATTACTTGGTGTTCGATAAAGAAAGGGGAGATTAAGGATGCGTTTATGAATTTAACCGGCGAAAAGGTCAAATTAATCACAATGATTACTTGCGGCCTAATAAGTCAAAACAAGGGATTGCTCTCTCTCTCCGTGTGTTGTTCGGTTAGGGTTTGTCAGATCCTCCACCTTCCCCCCTAACTTTCCTTTTTTCAAACCTTTAAAAGAAAAAAACCAATTCCAAGTCTGTCTTTTTAATCTGACTCCAGATCTTTTGTTTGAGAAATGTCTTCGATGATCCCAACCTTGGCCTTTTTCAACTGGAAAAGCATGCGTATGACTTGAGAGCTTCCAATCTCAATTCCTCCACCCTTATGTCACCAGACATCACTGATCAAAAAGTTTAAAATCACTCCGTTAAATAAATATTATCTTGTCAACATCTATTGTCCTGTGTCTTGTTCTAATCGTTTCCACGCCCAACAGTTTCTACATGTTGGATATGTAATCTTAACTAATAACACCCTCACGTAAGTCCAATGCTATACATGCTTTTTACCAAAACTAACTGATTGGGTTTATGAAAAGGATATATATAAACTCAACCACGGCTCGATCCAAGTCTCACTTCCATTTTCCAAAGGATAAGAGCAAATGCTCGGGAAAAATAAGAAATGGTAGGCCGAAGTAGTGGATGATGGCACGTGGAGAGAGTGTGTGAAATCAGAATAGAATCATAAAACTGGTGAAAAAGGGGTGACGATCGAGTGTGCAGTGACTTTTCTCTTTGGAAAAAAAAAAAAGAAAATTTCAAGGAGTGCAATTGAGTACCAAAAGCCAATCCTCATAGATATGGAAAAATGAAACACCAATTTGGAATCTTCTTCTTCTTCTTCTAAAAAAACAATCATCATATCTCTTCTCTCGTCTCTCTCCCTACACTATCATCATCCACTGGAGATGGAATCAATCGTTCGTCATCATGAGTTTAGAAAATGTGGGCTTGTTTTGTTCAAAACCCACCTCCTCCTCCCCCCGCCCTCTGCCCCATCTTTAAGCCACTTCACTTCACATTTTCCCCCTACTATTTACTTCTTTTTTCTTTAAAATAAATAAATAAATAAATATAATACCTTCTTCTTAAGTCACTCTTAACCTATTTATTATCAAATAGACCAAGCAAGAGAGACACCCAAAAAAAAAAAAAAAAGACTAGGTCCATGGCCTCAGCTTGAAAATAAAAGATCTAAACATTCAATAGAATATTAAACTCTCCACTCCCCGGACAAGGAATCCACCATAAATCCCCTATCATGTGATGGTGTTGAGGGAAAAAAATGAAGATCATGTTTTGTTTTTAAAACAAGGGAATTGATGAGGTGAAGGACTACTACACTAGGACCACTAAGAGCTCTACTAAATTTCTCCCGAATGATACAACCAGACTACAACTACAAGGGGGAGGAGATAGTCAACCCCGAAATGAAACCCGTGCCTCAACAAAAAGTATTCAAAAACGTTATAATTTTATACCTATGTCTACTATAGCCCACCCCCTTCAACCATGACACCGAAAAATTACCATGAATATTATTGAGGGGGAGCAAAAAAAACTTACCAGTTGGAAGTTACTTCCTTGAGTTCTTACAGCTTCAATGATGGATTTTGTTTCACGCTCCTCTTGCCATCAAAACCCAAAGTGGTCGAAATCACAATCATCAGCCTTCACTAATTCAAAATTACCCATCGATGAATCCTCTGACTCTTGCTGTCGATTGCCTACCCCCCTTTCTTCCCTCCTATCATGACAACGTGTACAAAATTCAATTACGGCAAGCCTTTGTCCTGAAGCAGATGCAAACTCTTAATCATTTTTCCCTCTTTGAAACCAAAAATTAATTAGACTCTGCTTGTTCTTCTTCCCATGTTCATCATTCTGAATCTGAGAATCTGCCTTGAGCCCTTCTTTGGATCTCCTAGTACGTACCCCCTTGTATACGTCCTGAGTCAGATTAACACACTGACTCCTAATGTAAAAGAAAATAAAGGTTACTTACTAGCAAGGAACGGGTGTATATGCCACTGTTCTTGAATGACAGAAGTCTCACCTGCAAATCTAAATATTGAATAGAAACGGGCAGGGAGAAAACACAAAACTAAATTAGACTTACAAAAAGGATGTTCACAAATATGTTACCCAGCAAAGAGGACTATCAAAGAGTACGTCGATAAGTAGCTTTATCATCTCCATCCATCTGTCTACCTATTTCAGATCTTTATCACTCCCCTGTCTCAGCATCAGAGGAGGGTAATATCTCGTTCTTATCTGTATCAGAATGATCATTTGTGGCCAAGTCTGAAACAAAACCGTGTTTTTCCTTCCCTCAACCATCATCCGAATAAGAACGACTCTTGCTATCGGAGTCTGAACCAGAATTACATTTTCACTTCCCTTTCTTTGATCTTTTTCAGTGTTGGAGAACTGATCATTCAGTTCAGGAGCAACAACCCTATCACTTCACTCAGAGCTCAACGATCGTTATCCTTCCTTCTGACAACAATAACCTTGAAGAAGAAGGTTTACTTTGACTTTGAGCAACCTGACCTGCAAAATCATGTATTATAGGCACTTCATTTACCCTTTGACTCTTTGAGTATCACTTTCCCCATCCTTTCTACGTCTTTGGGCTTTATTCACACCGTGTACAGAAGGAGCTGCGCTACAAGCCCAGCTTCCAGCAACTTCAGAAGCTAGAAGATCGGCTGTTCTTATAGCACCTACCTTTCAGTGTCTTCTATATCCCCATTGGTCATATGAGGGACTCCTCGATGGTAACCGAGGATCAGGTTGATCATGATGACCACTTTCATTTCATGTGCCTGAGTTTCATAATCCATCTACAGTGTATCACTAGAAGATGTTTAACTTGCTCAAATTAAAATTTCTCTCATAATTGTCTCCTGTACTTGAGTTTCATCAACTTGCTCAGTTCCCACAAGGTCTCTATCCAAAATGGGAGCTGTACCAACACCCTCAATATCTGAGCCAAAGGCACCCTTGGCAATGCGTTCAGACTTAGGAATTCTGGTTCTTGGGTATTTTGGCCTTCTTGGATCATGATGTCACACTCACAGTCATGCTTCTCAGTAGCACCTGCGCCTTCAGAAGAAGTATCAACAGATCCATTTCCCAGTTAAACCTCCACCCTGAAATGGAGGATCTTGCCTTTCTGGCAACGTTGGTGTGCCAACCCTCTTTCATTGTCCTCAATACCAGCTCTGATTATTGGATTACGATCCATATCAACAGAAGTGTTACTATAAATTTTATTTTCTTCCAAAGTTCTCTGCATGGCCTTGAGCTGTTCCCGTTGCTTCACAAAAAAAACTATGTCCTCGGCCATAAAAATAAAACATCCACCCCTGAGTTTCACTGCATGAACATTTCATGTTAACACTAATTTGAACGTATCAAACTTGTATGACAATGTATCTGGAATCCTGGATAGTTTTAAGGCAACATAATCAACAGGAAACAACAGCCAAAAATGGCAATCTTGACTGCAAGAGGATTGTTTAGCAGATAAATTGAATGCGAGAAAACACCATGCTGGTGTTAAGAGCTTAACAAGCATCCTAAGTCATCAAATATTCCATGTCAATTGACAAAGGCTTTACGTGGTCATTCCATCCATCTATCTAATATCAGCTATTTATACATCCAACACAAGATAGAATAAACAGAAGACAGGAAAAATCCATGATTTCAGTGATAATGGCATCTGTTTTTCTTGTTCTGTTAATACGTTTCGTCATGGCAATAAATCCAAGTACTTTCCGATACACTTACACATATGCAAATGCGACGTCTACAACAATGAAGACATAAGCTTTAACACTGCAATTGATCTGCAATAGTGGACACAGATGGAAAAGCCGATAGTACAAGACATAAACTTTTGAACTGTTTATTTAGTCTTGAAAGCCATTTACGAAAGGTGATATACTTATTTCACAGTGCTGAGGTAAAAATCCTATATGTCCATGGTCTGGATGAGTAGCCAACGATACTATGTCACAGGGCTGGATCTTTACTCCAGAGCTGTACTTTCTCAACTGTTCCCAGATGAGATAAGTGGTGAATTAGAGAAATAGGCAAAGCACAGACAAACCCTAAGTCTTATGTTTCCTTGAAGACGTTACCGTGAATTAAACAACTAAACCAGGAGAAAGGTCCACTAATCTGGTGTCTTTCAGAAAGTCAGATATCTGACAGCTCGATGAATCAGCGGCGCACAAGCCAACAGTAAATTTATGCCCTAAAATTTCAAGATCAGACATCGAATCAAACTCTGGAATATAATCGATTTACGGGGACTAGTCTTCAGAAACCGGAATTAAACTCCGGATATCACATATTCAACCAAAACTGAAAATTGGGGATTGAGAAACGGGGCAAACCTTGACGGCTTTTGCGAGCATTGCTGGAAATCGCGGAGAGGACTCCCCACATATCGGGATCGTAGTTCCGTAAAGGCTGAGAAGCGATGTTAGAAGCCACCGAGCCGATTAAACCCTCGGTTGAGGAGGAGAAATGTCATTCTGGCTGGTTGAATTGTTTATATTGGCCGATAAGTGTTATTGTTCTTCGAGACAAGTGTCAATGGTGTCGGGGCTCCGTTTCAAGGTCCCTGAAGTGAATTTTCTCTCGTCTTCCTCCACCGCCATCCACACCATTAGGGCTTCGGGCGTAGGGAGGACGAGAGAGGATCGAAGAGGGGTGAAAATGGCGGGGATTTTGAAACCCTAATCGGCAGTCAAAATAAGGGTTTTGAGCTGTTGTAATATGTGCCTCTCGGCCTTATATTGTGCCACGTCAGAAAGTAAAACGTTGGTTTTAAGTTTTTTTTTTTTTTTAATAGAGTGGAGCAAATGTCGGTGTGAGACCACGTGCTTTCCTGTGCCGTGGCATAATGTAACGGTCCTGAAAATGTTTGGACCGGTTGGTGTCACTGGCCTTCCATAAATATATAAATGGGCCACGGCTTCCAACTCTTCTATAGGCCCATTCCTCTGATATTTCCCGCACCTGAAACGACGCCGTTTCTGCTTTACCTACTACTAAATCTGGAATATTCCTCTGGCATTTCCACAGCCCCAAACCCTCTATGGACGGTAGTCCTCTGGTGTTTTCCTTCACCTGAAATGACGCCGTTGCTGCTTCACCCTCCCTACTAAATCTGGAATATTCCTTTGATATTTTCCACAGCTTCCAGGACCCACTTGAAACGACGCCGTTTCTCCTCCCTACTAACTCTGGATGAATCCTTGCAAATTACAACCGGACAACCTCCCAAAATAAATCATTTAAATTCGGTACTTGTATAGATAAAAGGGCTTTACGCTTTGTTCGTTGCTTCGCGGGTTAACACCTAAAGTCCCGCCCACAGTTCATGTACAATACTGGAAAGATTAAAAAACTAAAAAAGAAGTGGGGCCCAATGGTTTCTCTCTCCACGTGGATTTGTGAGAGTTTCTAAGATCCATGCGCGTGGATTTTTTCAAAATCACGAAAGTCCACGAAAACCCCGGGCTTATACGACGTCGTATCATCCAAAACATAACATGCACACGCGCGCTCACATACCACCAACTAGGGGTGGACGTTTCGGGAAACGGTTCGGGTTCGGGACGGAATAGATCGGTTCGGTTCTT